CATAAAAATAATAATTTTAGAAATAATTTAAGTGTCAGTAAAGTAACAATTAAAAATAAAAATATATCTTTAATTGCCTACTGAAAATAGATTAAAATAAAAAATAAAAAATAAACTTTCACTAGCATCAACTATTTTTCCGTGGCGATCAACGTCTAAAGCTCGATTGCACAACTATCGATAATCGATGACCACGGTGCATTGTTGAGTTATCGAAAGTTTAATCTGACTTAGTGAGAGGAACACAAATTTTAGGTTTTTATTAATGTGAATACTAGCGAAGAAAGTGAAATGCCCTTTAGAAAAATGTCCAATTTTTATTAGGGGTGGTTATATTGCCACCATAATTTTTATTTGATATATTATATTTTAATTGTAATTAAGTTATTTGATCTTTGTTTATTATAGTAATTATTTCCTTAACTTTTTTTCTTCGAATTTTTATGTTCAATTAATTAATACGTCTCGTCAGGCATAATTATTTGTATCAAAATATTTTGTTTTCATACTTTTAAATGAGGAAAAAATATTTTTTTTCTCACTTTTTATTTTCTAAAAATATGATGACAAAATAAGTTGTTTTACATAATTTCAACAGACTTTTAGATATAAAATTGTTATAAAAAATGGACAATTTGAATGTAAGAATAATATGAAAAATTGTTAGAAAAATTGTTAGGGATATAAGTGCTAGGGTTAATTACCCCATTAGTCACTGAACTTTACCGAAGGTTTCCAGCAGGTCACTAAACTTCAAAAGTTACGTGGCTAGTCACCGAACTTTCCAGATTGTAATCTCATCCATCACTAAGTGGACGGCTGTTAGAAAAATTAACGTTAATGATGACGTGGATGCCATGTGGCACGATTTTGGGACTAAATAATGCCAAGTAGGATGTTGCTACTTATGTGGAAATTAAAACACGATTTCACCAAAAGAAAAATGAAAATTGGCAAATAAAACACACTTCCTCCCCCNTAGGTAGACATTTCGTCAATTTTTTTCAAAATTTTCTAAAAAAATTGATTTTAATCTCTACCAAACAAGAGTTTAATAAATATTTTCTGATAAACTAATTTATTGACTCTATTTCATTGATAAAAAATATATAATAATAAAACATTCACAAAGAAAATACCATAAAAATAATAATTTTAGAAATAATTTAAGTGTCAGTAAAGTAACAATTAAAAATAAAAATATATCTTTAATTGCCTACTGAAAATAGATTTAAAAAAAAATAAAAAATAAACTTTCACTAGCATCAACTATTTTTCCGTGGCGATCAACGTCTAAAGCTCGATTGCACAACTATCGATAATCGATGACCACGGTGCATTGTTGATCACGCATGATATTGTTATCGAAAGTTTAATCTGACTTAGTGAGGAACACAAATTTTAGGTTTTTATTAATGTGAATACTAGCGAAGAAAGTGAAATGCCCTTTAGAAAAATGACCAATTTTTATTAGGGGTGGTTATATTGCCACCATAATTTTTATTTGATATATTATATTTTAATTGTAATTAAGTTATTTGATCTTTGTTTATTATAATAATTATTTCCTTAACTTTTTTTCTTTGAATTTTTATGTTCAATTAATTAATACGTCTCGCTAGGCATAATTATTTGTATCAAAATATTTTGTTTTCATACTTTTAAATGAGGAAAAAATATTTTTTTCTCACTTTTTATTTTCTAAAAATATGATGACAAAATAAGTTGTTTTACATAATTTCAACAGACTTTTAGATATAAAAATTGTTATAAAAAATGGACAATTTGAACGTAAGAATAATATGAAAAATTGTTAGGGATATAAGTGCTACAATGAGTAACGATTAAGAACATAAAATACAATTAAAAGGTGGTACAAAAAATAAAAATTACGGTGTTAATAAAGGTTAGGGTTCGTAGCCAATTTTATTTAAAAAGACTAAAATATCCTTAAAAGTTTTGTAAATGAGAAATCACTTTTGTATTAAATTTTATTTATTTACCCCTAAAAAGTTTATCAAAATTACAGCCTAACCAAACTCAAAATCCCTAGTCTTTTTGTCTGACATGAACGGGAAAAAATTTCTTACCAAATCGATCGCGTCCCAACTATGTCGTACGAAAACCTGACGAAACGTGTCCGAAGTTTTTTGACAATGGCCAAAGTGCCCCAAACTTTTTTGACAATGCCCATAATCATTATGAAGTGACTAATAGCATGTATCCCATAAAAAATGAGTTAAGGATGACAATGGGGCATATATGGGACAGACTGTTCATTCACATCCTTGTCTCGTTGGGTATTTTTACCACCTTGTCTCATCTTTATTCCCGATTAAAGTTGGACAGAGCGGGATTGGGTAGGTTTTGTGTCCCATATATCGCCATGTTTATTTTTCTTTATTTATTTATTTTATTTTAATCATTTAATGTATTTAGTTAGTAAATATTTTTTTTTCAATTTGTTAAGAGCAACTTATGTTCTCTTTAAAAATGATAATAAATATTTTATTATTATTTGACAAAAAACATAAATTTTAAATTAATTTTAAATGAGGCGGGTAGGAAGATGGAGACTATGTTTTCCGCACTTGTCCCATACATCAAGCATAATCCTAATTACAATTTTCATTTGGTAAGTTTATAAAAATAAATAAAAAAATAGTATGATTGGCATGGAAAATATTTTTTCCTTTATTTTGAAGAAAACAAAAACATATCTCCTAAAAGAATGTCTTCCTTAAAAAACAAAAAAGCTAGACATATTTTCAAAGAAGGAAAATATTTTTCACAAAAAAATAGCAATCAAACAATCTAAAAGTTGAAATTTTGATGGAAGATGCCATTTTTCCAATCAAACACACTATAAGAGAAATAGAAAGTGGATCCAACAATCCGTGAATAATAATGAATATTAGATATGAATGTATGTTTGAAATTTAAAAACTATTTATGAATTGCTTGCCAAATGGAGGTACAGTATTGAATTTTGTACATCTTATCTTCACCATACTCGTTGGATGCAGCACGGCTCAATTTTGAGATGATCTCATTGGGTTATTATTTGGCCCGACATGGTTTCCTCTTTATACGTGTCCAAAGAAGAAGAAGAAGATAATACGATCAATTATTCTTTGGCCCAACATGGTTTCAAACTTAAAATGAAGAAATTCTTAATTTATAAACATAGTTATGTAATAAAAGTTCAAGTTATCTGTTACGGACCTGTGTCAGATCCTCCACCTCGCCCTCCACGTGTCAGTATATGCGACCCGTCCACGCGTTGACCGAGGTTATTATACATGGGACGAGCTGACTTGCATGCCGAAACGATTATTCGAAGGACGAACTGAATGAGCGTCAGCAAACGAACCGGACCCATCCACCAGTACGCAGTGGATGCAAAGGCCCACACTCCTCTTCTACAACGCTGCAACGCCTCACCCGCCTCGCCTCGCCATCAAAGATCTCTTGTATAAATATCTTTCTAAGGTCAAATCTCTGACTGATGGGACGTGTGGCAGGTCCTCAAACGCTCAAATCAGCAGCCTATGTCAGAAACATTCAATACCAGTCGACCTATGGAGGGACAGAGTGACACCTAGGATAGGACGAGCCTTGAGGATCTGGCAACACGTGTCTCCTCATCCAACGGCCCTCCTCTTTCCATCCTTAGTATAAATATCCC